TTCTTTCTCTCCACATACGCCCTCAGCTGCTATTTTGGCTCTCAAGAACGAGGAGAAAACAGAGCTGCAGATTCTCCAAATTCTTCCCAAGCAGTCCATTTGCCTTGGCTTTTCAAAGTGGATTTAGCCAAGTTTTGGCAAGGAGGTAGGAGCTAGGAATTAAGAATAATGTTGAAATGCACAGCAAGTATGGAAAGCGAGGTTGGCTAAGGAATGGACCAGGACCAGGTGGACAGACTGAGGAGTTTAGCTCAGGAAACCAACAGAGTAATGGGCTGCAGCAAGATGGCTGGACATAAAATATTTTAAGAATCAGGTGAGAAGCAAAGAGAAGCCAGATTCACAGCGGGAAAATGAAGACACTGGATTAGGCGACACAGCCCACACTTGGCAATGAAGGTGTGTTAATCATCTTTTTCAAGGAGAGACCAACCTCAAAAAGAGGTTCTCCATAACCTCCAGTTTACAGTGGAAACCCATAGACACTTGAGCAGACTGTGAGGGTGAGTGAAAGAAGAAGAGGAACATGGCATTTCACAGCTTTCTCCTTTTAAACGATCTGCTCCAGGAAACTAGACTTGAAGGTAATCTTCATTTTGTATTCAGCCTCAGGAATTCATTCTCTTTTGAGTTACATTATAATGAGAAGTTACCCTTGTTTATAATTTTTTTCCTTATTTTAATTTCCTCCTCACATTTCCTTTTTGAATTCTTTTAAAAGATGGTTTACTCATTTCTCCCATGAACAGGAGAGACAGAGAGAGAGAGACAGACAGACAGACAGAGAGAAAGCACCCCCAAGAGGTCTTGATGCCACAATCCACCCTCAGACTCTGCCAGCCCCAGATCATGGGCACTCAGCGAGGTCTTCAGACGCAAACCTGGAACCTTTCCGTGTGATGTGTTTTAATGCTGTACCAACATTTGACCCTCACTTTTCCTTTTTTAAAGCTTAATTTTTATTTATCAAAGCTAGGCATGCACAGAATTTAGAGTCAATAGTTCTATAGGACTTCTTTTTTCAAAACTTTATTTATTTACTTACTTATTTTAATTTGACCAGAGAGGAACAGAGAGAGAGAGGGAAAGTGAGAAAGCAAGTTGCCAGGTCCAGGACTCGAACTGTGGTTGCCCATGTGGGAGTACGGCACTCTTCACCACCACGCCACCTGCTGGCCCCTCTACAGGACTTCTTACAAAGAAACACAGTTTTCTACGTACCCTCCTTTGATTCTTCGTTTCAAAGAGGCAATCATTTTCAATGATTTTAGCTTTTATCTACCTGCAGATCTTTAAGTAACATGTTTCTATCTCTGTGTCTTGTTTGTTCTTCAGTTTTACCAAATCTTTAAGTAACGTGTTTTTATCTCTGTGTCTTGTTTGTTCTTCAGTTTTAGGCATTATTCATTGAGTTCTCATTGAAAACATGAGGATTTACTTTTTCCCTTGCCCAATTCCCACCCTAAATACATGCATATTTCCCCTTCTCCTGTCTTCCCAACTGTGTTACATTACAATTTTGGCATAATTAATATTCAGGGTTAACACAGTTACGACCATTCATGTCTGAGTTATGAGGTGTACTAAGATAGTTTTCTATTTTCTGCACTATCTGTTTTCCTGAAGTGCAGTGGTGCCCTCCCTGCTTGCACCAGCACGACTGGTCAGCTTCTGTGTTCTACACAATTGGCCCTCCATACCCACGGGTCAACATGCGTGGATTCAACCAACTGCAGATCAACAATATTAAAAAAAGAAATAAAACAAACAAGAAATGGTGGAAATCCCACATAGCTGACCATGCAGTTCAAATCGTAGCCCAGTGGCTTCAAAAACAAACAAACAAACAAAAAACACACCAAGTATTTGCAAGTGCATGCCCAGAATCTTGAAAGAATGAAGAAATGGAGAATGGATTGTGGTGCGTTCACACCCATGGGGGAGGAGGTGCTTTCTCCTCCTCCCTCTTTGTCCTTCTCCCTCTGGCCAGTGCACATACCCTCTAACAGACAACAAACAACAACAAAAAACTGGTTGTATCTCTAACTGAACATGTACGGAGGTCTTGCTTTTTTGTTTTTGTCATTATTCCTTTAGCAATACCATGTAATGCTATTTATGTAGCATTTATATTGTATTAGATAAAAGTGACTAGAGATGATTTAAAGTGTACAGGAGGATATTGGGTAGGCTTTATGCATATACTGCACATTCTTTTTTTAAAAAGAATTATTTTAAAATTTTACTTATTCATTCTTTTTAATTTGACCAGAGAGAGACACAGAGAGAGGGAGAGAGTGAGAAAGCAAGCCACCAGGTCCAGGACTCGAACCATGGTCACCCTTGTAGGATTGTCCAGTGCCTTAACCACCACGCCACTCATTGCTCCCCTGTACCTTCTTAGAAAAGGGAGTTGAGCCACAGATTTTGTTATCTGTAGAGGGTCCCAGAACCATTCCCCTGTGTGGATATTTGAGGAATGAGTACTTTAAAATTACTCTCCTCCAAGTTCTTCCTCCAGTTGTGTAAGC